ATGCCAGCGCTGCCCTTGCCCCCGCTGGCAGCGGCGGCGGCTGTGGCGGCAGCTGCTGCCGCGGTGGCCACCACGCCGCTCGTCAGCATCCGTGGCAGCGGGGCGGCACGCATCAGCCGCTCCAAGGAGTCCATATTTTTTGTGGGTTGTGTTCTCTATCGGCTTATCGATATCAATATATCGGTTTAAGGTTTCGTGATTGTTTTGTTTTGTTTCGATTGGCTTCGTGTGGTTTTGATTTCTTTTCTTTGATTTGCTGTTTTGAGTTTACGATTTTGTTGGGGGCCGTTTTTTCTTTGCTTTTTAGTTGTTGGGAGGTTGAGTTTTTCGTTTAGTTTTTCACTTTTATTGTATTGTTGTTTTTGTTTTGGTTTCTTTTAATGGTGGCTCTTCTTCGATTATCTCCTCTTGCAGCACACATTTTATTCAACTGAAAGAATTTTTGGGTTTTTTTTTCGGTTTCGTTTTTACCAAAAAGCGGCAGGCAAACGATACAAAAAAGCCAACACACTCGACTGAAATTCGAGCAGGGAAAAAACTCGCAAAAGAATTTGCCAAAACAAATAAAAGAAAAATGAAAAGTTAAACGAAAACAAAAATTAAAAAAAAACACAAGGCTTGAATTGAATTGGATTGAATTAATTTTTGTTGATTTGCCAGAGATGATTATCGGCCGACATCGGGTGCACAACTGGGAGAAGCAGGAGCAGCCAGACTGTGGGGCTGCCTGTGACTGTGTCAGTGACTGTTATCCCTGCTGTTAGTCTGTACAGTCACTGTTACAGCCAGGCCATTGTATAATTTATGAGCAGCACCGAGTGGCAGCATGGGAGGACACACTATCAATAACTAAGAAGTAGGCAACGGCATAGACCCCATAAAAATGACACAAGAATGTCCCAAAGATGAACTGCAAAATGCAAAATGTCATAGTGTGCGGCATCGGCATTTGCCACATTGTTGGTTCAGAAATATACGAGGCAGAAATAGCAGCAGAAGCAGCAACAACAGAAGCAACAGAAGCAAACATGACAGAGACCATGTCGCTCCATCATTCCGTGCTGTGCTGACCGCTGGCTGGGGACTAATAAAATTCAAGTTAAATGGTTGTTAAAAATTTATAGCAGACTATAGCAGAGCAGCTCCAGCCATCATCCAGCATCAAGCATTTTAAGAGCCTCCGCCCAAGACATTGAGAAACAGCGAGGCAAATGCCAAGGGCAAGGAAGACGCACGGAAGCGACAGTCAGAAGCTGACAAAGTCCTGTGGCTTTCAGGCATTCTCGCATTCTCGTATTCTGGTGTTCTGGCATTCCACAGGCCACAGAATTGTCAAGTTGTACTTTTGGAAATAAATTCGTAGACTTCTTCATTTAAAATTAAAGAAATATCGAAATAATAAATAATTTCTTCTATTTTTTTCTTTGTAAAACTTTATCAAAATGTCCGAGCGGCTTCACTTCGATTAAACTGCGAAATTCCCATTTATCGATTTATATTATCGATACTTAGCCGATAACACATGAAATATCAAAATTTAAAGCTTAACTCTGCATAAATTCAAGTAGCAAGAGGATGTGCTGGTATGGTAAACTTTTGTCGCCTGTCGCCCAAAGGCAGGCCTCATGTGTGCCCCCATTGCCCCATGCCCCAATGCCCCCATGCCCGCATCTCTCTGTAGCTCATCTTTTACGGTTCTGGCAGCAGTTACAGTTGAAGAAAAATAAGCATACAGTCAGTCCTTGGCCTGTGGGCTCGCTCTTGCTGTATCTCTGTCTCTGGCTTTGGCTTTCGCTTTAGCTTTGGCTGCCATCATCCGTTGGCTCTTCCGCTTCCATTGGCCCTGGTGCTTCAAGCGTAATTTATCTGCTGCTGTTGCCCCACAGAGACAGAGAGCGACAGAGACAGCGAGAGAGAGAGAGAGAGAGACGTACACAGAGAAAAGGAGAAACGCTGCTGTCAACAGGAGCCGGGGCAGAGGAGCGTGCGTCCTTTCTGCCTACTGCTACTGCTACAGAGGAGACGAGTCATGGGAGTGTGGTGTGGCAAAATTTATGCAAACCGACGTATGGCCAACAGGATGAGAAGCAGAAATATGCCAAGAGTTTTGTTTGTGGGGAAAGGACTGACTGTCGAGAATTTCCTGTGGTGGTGTGGGGGGGTGTCCTTTGGGTGTGGGCGGGTGGCATACACACACACACAGTGTATTAACTGCAGCTAAATCAAACTTTTGAGCCAAGTTATGAATTATTTGCCATTGTGCAGCAGGCGAAACATGCCTTTGTCGCCAGGGCAAGGGCCAGGACCAGCCCGGGACCAGCCGAGGACCAGGACAGGAAGTTGCCTCTGACTTTTGCCTCCACCGCCAAGGAAGGACGTACGATCCAGAGATCCTTTTTAGCATCACCTGTCTCTCTGTGTGTGTGTGTGTGTGTGTGTGTGTGTGGGTGTACTACGTCGAGTCATCCTCTGCCTGCCTGCCCACGAGCTTTTGGGACCGGGCCAAGTCAATTTGAGCGGCATTTTGTTGCCATCCGTTGGCCCCTCACAAACAAGAGAATCCATTCTTTTGGGTTCTGTTTTCTTCTTCTCTTCTGTTATATTTTTTTTTTCTGCCTAGCTGTGATGATTCGCCATTTGATTCGCCTCTGCCCCCACCCCATCTGTGGCACGTAAATTGAATAGACAAGAAAAGCAAAAGACCAAAGTTCAGGGCAACAGCAGAAAAAAAACATATATCAGCAAACAAACAAAAACAGAGCAAAAAAAAAAAACCACAAAAAAATCAAGGGTGAATTCAAGCAAAAATTAAGTGAAAATAATAAACCCTTGGAGCGACGGGGCAGGACACACACACACACACGCTCAGCCTGTGGCAAGGAGAGACCATTACACACACGTTGGCCACACTGCCACTGCCACCAGCTGGCATTACAGTTAATTAAAGGTGACCCAAGAACCACTACCCCATTACCACTCACTCCCCACCCCCAGTGACAGACTTCTCTCAGTTTTTGCCCCACACACAAACACACACACTGGGCCGGAAACTAGAGAAAATTGAGTAAATTCGAAGGGAATTCTCGCAAATAATTACCTAAAGAGTTTTGTTATCGATAACTAATTAACAAATCGATTCTTAGGCTTCGGTTAGATTGGAACTTGTGCATTTTTGGATTAATGCAACTCAACCCAAAGGGTTTTAAAATCTATTCCAATTCCTTCTTTGCAGTTAAAATTCTTCAATGAATCTATCGATTAATGTGCTAAAAAATGCTTTTAAAATCTTTTTCAATTCCTTCTTAGTAGAAGGTTAAAATTCTTCATTGAATCTATCGATAAAGGTCCCAAAATCTGTTCAATTAATTTGAGGGTAAATCTTTATCTGCAGCAGTTAACTATTGCAGCTGCAGCCCAGTGTTCTGCTGCCACGAGTGGGTGGCAGGGGGAGTCTGTAAGCCGGCTGCAAACTTTGCAAATGAATGGCAGGGCATTGGAAATAATGAGCTGTATTTACATTTCAAAGCCCACAGACGCAGGCGAGCAGGCGAACAGCCGAGCAGCAGCAGCAACAAAAGTTTTAGCTGAAGGATTGAGTGGGGTCCTCAGGGTACTCTACTCCACCTCCGTCTAGGTCGCCGTCTACGTCTCTGTGTGTGTGTGTGTCTATGCCTGTGTCTGTGTGTAAATGTCGAAGCTTTTCGTTTGGGTTTTGTTGGCATTGCATACAATTTGTTTTATGGCCATGGCGTGCACATTAAACGCGCACTTAATCACACGCACTGGGCGTGGCCCAGCCTCTCTCTCATCCTCTCCCTCTGTCATACCCGCCGCCCGCCCACCAACAACAATCGTCTGTGGCGACAAATCAAATTGATTTCACTCTGGATTTCGCATCTTTTTTTTTCTCTCTTTTCTCTTTCATTTCTGGGCTTGCTTCGTTGTTCGCCTTTCGTTTCGTTTGCTTTCGTGCCTTATTAAATCACTTTTATTGCCATTGAAATGTGCAAAAGTTTTTTGTGCGTTGTTCAGAAAAATAAAAGACCAAGCGGACCAGACCAAAAAAGACCCAAAACCTACCAGACGACCATGAGGCGTATACGTAATGCATGTGGTCGAAATAATTCATATTTAAAGGAAAATTGGAATGGAGTGAAATGGAATTAAATAAAAGGAGCGGAATAGAGTGGAATGGAATTGATTAGAGTGGGGAACAGTGAGCGGAACAGTGTGGCATGGGTAATGGAAGTCCACAAATTAACCAAGGCATAGATATTCTTCCGGTCAGGTCTCTTTATATTTTTTTCTTACACTTCAAGTGAATAATATTATATTAAAGAAATATTATTTTCGCTCTGGTGAATGACTTTCCAACCCACTTTATCCGTTTGAGGTTACGGAATTATGGAATTGAAATGGAAAACAAAAATTCATTGGATTAGCACCGACAATTCTAGTCTCTATTTATGAAATTTCTTCTATTTTCAATGGAAAATCATACGCTGGAAAATCGCATGTGACGGAAAAGTGTAAATTCTTGATTTATGAATTCCTTTACTTGCAACACATTCCTTGCAAAATACCCTGCCCCTGCCCCCATCCCAGGCCCTGTGAAAAGTTAACCTAAGCCACAACTCAATTTGTAATGAAATTTTTCAACAATTTCCCCGTCGTTTATCCCAGAATTTTTCTTGTGGCAGTGGCAGGACCGACCGCAGCAGTAGCAGCAGCATCTCAGCGAGGCGTGTAATTAAATTTTCATGCCACCTGCAGCTGCTGCTGCTGCTGCAGCGGCATAGAGAGAAACCAAAGCAGCGTGCAGCAAGTGGTGGGGGCTACTGCATGGACCACTGACTGAATACAGAAGAATGGGCAAATGGCTGTGGCTGGGGGCAAGCATCAACGCCTCCAAAAATGTCGACTCAAAGCAGGCGGAAGTAAATGCAGGACTCTCCACTCCTCCACTTGTTTTTAGGGGCCAGAGCAGGCCTATATCGTTCTGTCAGAGATTTCGTAGTGCTCTCACAATCTCCCCCAACAACCCACACCCATAACCCCTCATAGACAGACTGTAGAAACATTTGCACGGAGAGAAAAATCCCTCGCTCGAAAGATGCCAAAGGAGAGAATGCCGTGCGAGCCGCGGCCATCGCGGACTCTGCTATCGCCAGATTGCTTTGATCGTTCCGGAAAGTTGGTTTATTACGAGAATGCAGCTGCTGGCATGTTGAAGCAGGAGGAAGTCCCTTGTGGCGTGCGCAAGGACAGGCCGGTGAAGCCCAAGGACGTGCATGGCAAGCGCATGCTGCCGCCGGGCACACGTCCACCGGGACGTGTCCCAGGTGCCTTGGCCGCCATGGCACGCCGCATCGGCGGCAACAAGCCGACGCCCAGCGAGAAGCGTGCCGAGTCCGGCAAGGCCACCTTCTTCCATGTGCAGGGCCAGTCGTGGGAGTCGAAGGGCTTTGCCGAGCTCACGCCCACAGAGCTGGAGCGGATGCGTTCGGGCCGGCCAAAGAGCGCCGATGAGAAGCGGGCGGAGCAGGCCCAGAAACAGGAAGAGCAGCGCGAACACACTGAAGAGACCGAACGGATCCGCAACTATTTTCACGCCATTGACGAGCAGCGGCGCGAGAAGGAGCGCGAGCGCCAGCGGCAGCAGGATGTGGAGGCGGCCGACGTTGACGAGGAGCAGCGGGCGGAGGCGAAGCGCCTCAAGGTGTTGCATCATTCGCTGAACGCCAAATACGAGATGGACGAACGGGTGCGGGAGGCGACCAAGGCCATTTCCGAGGCCAAATGCAGTGCCATGTGGACGGCCCAGATACAGGAGCGTCGCCTGCTAGACCGTATCCAGGCCGAATATGACGCCCATCAGGCGCGCAAGAATCTCGAGTTTAACAACAGCAAGTGGGGCACCGTCGAGCAGAAGGACGCGGCCGACGAGGACAAGCGCCGCCAGTTTGGTGCGGATGTCCGCCAGCAGATCCTCGACCGTGAGAAGATGCGCTACGTGGCCCAGGACCGGCAGAAGCAGGAGGCACGCGAGATGCGTGTGGCTGTCGACGAATACAAGAAGGCGGAGGCCCATCATGTCCAGACCATCTCCAAGGGTAAGCTGAACTATCGCGAGGAGCTGGACAAGTACTCCAAGATGCATCGTGAGTTTGTGCGCATGATGTGCCAGCAGGACCAGAGCGACGAGCAGCGCGCCTACGACTATCTGCTGCAGAAGGAGGCCAAGCTGCGGGAGGAGCGTGCCGAGATGAAGGCCCACAAGGCCGAGGTGAAGCGGCAGCGTGACGCTCTGTTTGTCGTACAGCAGAAGATTCTCGATGCCAAGGACAATCAGGACGAGATGCGCTTCATTGCCGAGCACGAGCGACTCGAGCGCAAGTATCGCGAAACGGAGCGCCTGGCCGCCGAAAAGGAGCGCCGCATCGCCGACGAACTGCGTAAGGGCAATCTCGAGCAGCTGGACCGCCTCAGCCAGATGAAGGCCTGCTACTACGCCCAGCGGGAGCGCGACAACAAGTTAATGCTGCAGTACCGTGCCGAGGAGGAGGAGCTGAGCAAGGCTGAGGCCGCGGCGGACAAGGTGAAGCGGGAGAATCTCCGCTCGGGCGTCGCCTGTCAGATGGAGGAGCGCGAAAAGGCCCGTCGCCGTGAGCTTGCCGCCGAACGGCTTGAGTTCGAGAAGGCACGCGCCGCGGAGATTCAACGCCAGACAGAGATCGATACGGTGATTGCCGTGAAGCTGGATGATCTGACCAAGCGTGGATGTCTGCCAGGGAAAGCCCTCAATACGCTGAAGGGTCGTGTGGCAAATGCGGCACACAAGAAGCTGGGGGCAGAGATGAGTTAAGCTCTGCCCCACACACACCACACCACACACACATTACACTCATTTATACACACACACAAAAGTCCTCTCCATACACATGCACACACGCACACTTCAGAAGATGACAAATGGCACTAAACACACACAAAAACAAAAACACACACACACACACAGACGTGTATACGTATATGTATATGTATGTAAGAGAATGCCACGAATTAAAACTTGAAGCATACTCTGCGGTTATGGAACTTTTTGTGGCAAAACGAACAGGGGAGGGAGGGAATCCATCTACTGTATATAATGTCAGCGGCAGTGACAGTAGCAGAACTCAACAAGTTACCACAGACACACAGAGAGGCAGAGGCAGAGGGAAGGCCGCTCATTAAATCCACAAAACGAAAGCACAAATTACTGCTGATAAAATAAATTCCAAAGAGGGATTTATCGTTGCAACTTGCAACTAATAGGAAACTTTGTTGCTGCAAAAACAAACATTCGAAACTGGCAAGTACTGGGAGTAGTTCTATAATTGGGATTTGCTTAGCACATAAGACAGTCGGGTATTATGTGGTTAGAGAGCACAAACACGGCCCTTTTTCGCTGCACAAATTACCCATAAGTAAAGGGACACAGCAGGAGAGATTACGCCCTACGAGTGATCCGAAAGCAAAAACAACCCAGCAAGAAACTGAGCAGAGAAACTCAAGTCGAGTATCATGCACACGATATGTATGTGGGTTTTCGTTCTATTCGTATTCACGAGCAATCTCTTTGGCGCATTTCGCTTGTGCATCTGGCTGGAGTAACTTGTCTTGGGATAAATCTAGGAGAAAAATTGGAGGGAAGTGGGAGTATAATTCTGAGAATAACCCCCAAACCACACTCCCATCTCCATCCCAAGAAGATAGAAAACTCTCCTCTCTCCACCCATCAGAGTGTTTTTTATTTTTGTGTAAACTCAAAGTCGGTGGAGATTAATTGAGTTGAATTATACAGCACCCTGCCCATAAGTCGTTGTACTTGCAGCCAAAGTCTGTGTCTAATATGTGTTTGGTGGCACAGTGCACTATGGGAAATTAGACCCCTTTTCTGGCCAAACCTTTGAAGTGGATAAACAAATTTTAGTGCACGCATCACATATTCAACTTTAGGTTGCACACAGAATCTTGTTAGAGGCCACACAGGATAGCTGAAGCTGCTCTGCAAATTAGGTTTTTTTTGCTAACTTTAGTGGCCAAACCAAACAACTTTGAAGATCCAATCAGTGTGGTTTTATTATGGTTTGTGATTTTGTCATTTTGAGAAAACCAAAGAGCCAAAATGTAAGTAGCCTTGTAATGTTTTTGATAAACTAAGCAAAGGGATTTAAAGTGAGTCCAAAAGAGTCCATGAACAAGATGTATTTTATGTTGAGTATTAAATCCTTGTTCAAATGAATGTAATTAAAAATAACACTTTTTACTTTGGATTCATTTTTAGACATAACCTTGCAAACTAGATTTTTTTGTCAGTGTGGGGAGGGGGAAGGGGTGGGTGGGTAGGGGGGGCGGGCCCGTTGAACCGAGTTGGAGTGAGTACCAACGATAGTAACACTGTAGGAGCATTTCATCATGTTTTCCAACATCACTGGTTGATGGTATTGCAATTACATACGTTTGATATGCCTTTCATGCCAGCGCCAATTTACAAGTTTTTGTTATCGACTTGATAAATACCCTTGGTGCCAATGACCCAAGGTCATCAATTTTATAAGGGTACATGAATTTGTTTATGGTATTCGGAAGGGCTGAACCGAAATAAATTTCGTTCGTTGCCGAATGCGTGAGCTTGATCCTTCGTCAATTCTTAGTGAATTTGGTGACGTTTAGGGGGGGAGGTTAGGGTTTTCTATTAGTACAATGGGATCGGAGTGGGTGGCCCTTCAATGATTAGCAATACAATATTGTGGGGGGTTTTTAGGGGGTGTAGGTATTGTTTTATGTTCTAGGCTACAAGTGATGGCTTATTTATCTCCTTAAACATTCCTTGTAAGGGCCGCCATATTGTCATAATTATACTAGGCAAATGGTTTTTTGTTAGTGTTGAGAAATGGTTTAAGGGGGGGCACGCCTATTATTACGAAAAGGAATGGGTTGGGAGTTTGTGGGGGGGGGGGGGGAAAAAAAATTTTTTTTATTTTATTTATCTCCCTTTCATGTGAAATAAATTTCGCATGTGTCGATTCTGATTTTTGGTCAACAATTTTTGGCACACAGAAAATGTTGCTGCTGCTATTGATGGGTTGAGTGGTTTAAGCTCTTAACCCATGACTGAATGTTGAAGGCATGACAACGTGGGCGGAGGGTGGGGGCGGTGGCCTAATGATGCAAAAGGAATATTACCCTTGAATGCCATGTCCTTGGGGAACGGATGGACATGGATCCATCTATGCTCTATCTCTCTCTCGCTCGCCCTCTCTCTTTCCACCTCTGCTCATTATAATTGCAACCAAAATCGTAGCATACTTTTCTGGGGCTTTTCATTCGACGAGAGAAGCAACAAAGAAATGAATGGCCAAAGGATCCGGCATCCGTATTCGCATTTTGACAGCCAGCCAGCCAGACAGACAGGGAAACCGAGGGACAGAAGGGTGGGGGGGTTGGAAATGGGGGATACATTCATGTGTGCGTGTGTGTGGCAGAGAACAGAGAAAAGAACAGAGAACAGAGGGAAAACAAACAATAGTAAAACTGATTAAGTTGAAGGGAAAAACCACATCAAGCTAAACGATGATGAAGAAAAGACCAAAAGATTACAACAAAACCGTTGAACAGTGAATGCTGCTGCTGCTGCTGCTGCTGTCTCTGTCTCTTTCTCTCTCTATCTTTCTCTCTTTCTCTGACTGGACACAAAAGAGGAATCACCAGAGGGATGGTACGAAGCAGCAAAGTAAAAATGCGGGCCAAGGATAGACACACACACACACACACACACACACACACAAACAGATACACGGACGACTGGTACCTACATACATACATACATGTATGTATCTATGTTACATGTTACTTTGAGTTTTTGCGTATCTATGGGAATGGTCACAAGAAATGAAATCGAAGCAAAATTCGTAACATCGAATATATACTGCCATACAGAATAATTGAAAGGATATATGTACAAAAAGGAGGAGTCATCGTGGCTGCTGCGACAATTTGTTAGATATGATAGTAATGCCACGTCCTTTCTCCCTCTTTTTTCTTCCTCTGTGCTACGCCACCAACAATGATGGCAAAATTAGTCATTGTCCTGGGCTCCTGCTTCTGCTCCTGCCACTGCCATTTGCATATGTGTGGTGTGTGTGTGTGTGTGTCCTGTGTCTCTCTTTCTCACTCCTGCTGTCTGCTGTGTGCCCTAGTCCTAGTCCTAGGTCCTGACAATTATGTACAATTTACTTTGCATAACACTCGAGTGCAGAGCAGAGGTTTAAAGCCAGCAGCACAGCACAACAACATAAGCAATAGCCAGTAACTAGTTAGCATATTTGTTGTTCCTGGGGTCCCTCGGACCCACCCCACCCACCCACACCAAAAGAATTCCCTGAGTAAATTCAACAGAGGCAAAAAAGTTAACCAACGAAAATATCTAAACAAAAGTACAAAAAAGTTGATGGCAGGAAAATTTAAGCTGTGGCCGGAATGCAAAATAGAGAGAAAAATAGAGATAGTATTTGTGGGGTTCCTCCCTCGTGGGTTCAATGGATAAACACACGCATAAATCTGAGCCTCTCCACCCCCCCTCAAAAAGTGTGTGTGTGTACAAAACATTTGCCACAACTTTGGCTCCCCTTCTGCTGCTGCCCCTGCTGCTCCGCTTGAAAATATTCGTATGCAAAAATCTATTTGAATATCATCGCTCTCTCTCTCTCTCTCTGTCTCTAGGTTTTTCTAGGACCTCTTACCACTGTTCTTTGGACATCAGACAAGGAGTATGATTGCTTTTGGCTTTTGGTCAACTTTGCTGCAAAAAGTTTTTTTTTTTTGGGAATTATTAGAGATACAAAAGGCTTCATCTGGTGACGGGTGCGAAGAATGTAAATTTGTGGTGGAAGTATTCAACTGAATTGTGGATGTTTAAGGAATAGAATCGGAGAGAGAGAGAGAGAGCGCGAGAGAATGATGGTTGAGCTGTGCTGAAAAGATATCCACTAACAATAGATCAGATATTGCATCTGGGAATGTCCAAATGTTTCCATAACAAAAACCGATGACATCTCTTGCATATCGCGTATGGAATACTTATAATAAATAAAGAGTACAAAAATAAAGTGGTACATTAATGGAGCAATAAAAGTAAAAAAAAAAAATTAAACAAAGTCGGGAAAACTCTTAATTGGTTTTTTGGATTTTTGTTCGGCACCGAAGCTGACAAATATAAAGAGGAAAGATCCCTGGGAAATGGAACGTAATATTATGATATCCTTCTCTCATGAAGAGGGGCTAAAGATTTCAAGATAAAAAGTGTATGGGTGGTTGGTGGGTGCGCTTCCAAAAGGTGCTCTTTTTTTTGTGTTGGAAAACTCAGGTGAAAAGTGTGCGATGCGATGCCTTGCGATTGAGAGTGAGCGCGAGAGCGAGAGAGAGAGAGCGTTGGAACGAACCAGTGATTGATTGGTGATTGAGTGATTGAATTGAAAGGTGGGTGAGTGACAGGCTGCTCCCGTATGCTGGACTGGTGATGGTGCTTGGCTGGCTGCATCTTGTGGCAGGCAAATGGCAGTGTGTGTGTGCTGCAGGCTACAAAAACAAGAAACTGACTGGAAAAAAAAACAAAAGAAAATTCTTCAAGATGTGCAAATTCTTTTGTGGGGGCAACAATGATTTAAATGTATATATATATATTTTTTTTCTTTGAATTATTGGTTGGATTTTTCTCTCTGATTTTTTGTTCGTCTTTCGTGCTGATTGTATGGCATGGATCCTTGGATATCCAGATTTTGTGGTGGATTTTCGATGGATTTTCTTTTCTTATTTTGATTTTTTTTTTTTTTTTGCTAACCTTGTGGTGTGGGATGTTTTGCTTTTGTGGGCAATTTTGTTGTGATTTTGGTTGCATTTGGCTTTTGGTTTTTTTTTTTTTTGTTTTGTTCAAATTGAGTTTTGAGATTTTTGATTGATGATTGGTTGGTTTTGATTTTGTTGATTTTTGATTTTGCGATTCTTTTTTGAGCGATGATTTTTTTTTTTTTTGGCGGTGGTGCGTGC